TTTTTTTTATCATTTAAATTAATATCTAAAAATTTTAATTAGAATTTAATAGTTCTTCAACCTTTCTAGAGCAAGATCGAGTCAAAGTGCAATTATTCAAAAATACTTCATTTTATGCTGTTTCAGAACACTCAATATTTGGTCAAAATCAATTTTTCTAGTTAATTAATGGTCAAATGGATGGAAACTCCTCCTACTGTAACGAAATGAAATATTTGGGATTGCCGGTGACACGATGAAATATTTGGATAAAATTTCCAACAAAATAAAAAATTTGGGATCATGGCCACAATTCTCCCTATAGAATCATGCAAAAAGTCGAATTAAAAAGAAAAAAAATACATCTAAAATACAATTATATCGTAATTAATTAGTTAACATATGATTAACCATATCCTAAAATACTGGAAAACAAAAAAATCATCGGATCTATCAAATTATCTAGAAGAAACCCGTCAAAAATCCGATTAGGTCGAACCATGGTTTCACGGGTTACCTTTCTTCTTAGCACAGAAAGGGACACCGTGCGGCAGTAGTCTGCTCCGCTAAACTACCTTCCGCCTTCTCTCGATCGTTTCGAGACGAAAGAAAATTTGATTACAATTTAAAGAAAGCTTACAACATGAAATTGAAATGCATTGAAATAAACTTGATTATTAATTGCTTGAAAGCTGAACATTACAATAGACGAAAGCAGGAAATTACAATGACTGGTGCAGGGGGTGAACACTAGAAAATTTGAAAATGTTTGAAAGACTAATACCCCCTTAGCAACAAAAATCTGATTGATCGGAATAGACGTTTAAAAGCCGAGAAATCATACAAAACTTTTCTAATTTTCAACTATTTTACAATTAAATAAAATATTTAAAATGTGCGGTCGAAATAAAATATTTAAAATGTGCAATCGAAGTTAGGCAAATTGCGACTAGGTCACGGGGCTTAGGTAAACCCGCCGTCCGTGACGCATGGGCTATTTATTGGGCCATTTGCCATTCTCTCTAGCGCTCAATGCACGATCAAATCCAGATCCTTCTCTCTCTCCCCACAGCTGATAAACCCTAAATCCCGACTCCGAAGTAGCTTTGATTTGGAAGTGGTAAGACGTTATAAATTGACTAAGCAGCTTCAGAATGCCTGAAAACAATGCAGTGATAGGCCTTTCATGGGAACCTAAACTACCTGGATTTTCATCTACATCCACTTCGACATCTGGCTCTGCCAAAACCAAGAATTCCTCCTCCAATAATGCTGAAACCAGTGCCCTCTACAAGCCCAGTTCGGATCTCATTGACGGTCTCTTTGTTCCTCCTAACGACCCCAAAAAGCTCAAAAAATTGTTAAAGAAACAAATTAAAGACACTGCTGGGAAAAACTGGTATAAAGTTTCTGTCTCCCTCTATTTTTAGTTGGTTTCCATGATAAAATTCGCCTGTTCACTGTTTTTTGTGAAGAAATCTTTGATTTTTGATGTGGGTTGGTGTTAAATTGTTAACAGGTTTGATATGCCCGCCCCAGTTCTCACGCCGGAGCTGAAGAAAGATCTTCAGCTGTTGAAGGTAATTTCTGTTTATTTCCTTCCATGATGAATTGATTAAAGCTGTTTCCAGACCATACTATTTTGGACTTACAAGGAACGATCTGGAATACGAAAAGATGGACGAACTTCTTCGAGTGATTTATAACTGGCAATTGGCTGTGTGAAATTAATATGAGCACATGTCATTAATAATGCTTATTCACACATTCAATTGACTCTAAATTTAGGTCGCATCTATTATCTCTTGAACAGAATTTTAGCACTAACCAATGAGATTAATAGTCATTAGTAGCTAACGGTAGTATGGTAGAATACCAGAGACAGAAATTGAATATGGAAAATGCTGTGAGTGTAATGGAAATTTGTATGTAAGATATATATGTTTGCATCTATATTACTGATTATTGAATTGAATAAAGCGGTAAAAGAAATTACAAAGAAATGCCAAACTTTTTGGGGGTTTGGATTAACACAAACAACCGTACCTTAAAAATCAGAGACTCGGATAGGAGATTTTGTTGCCAAAAAGGTAATAAGAAAGGTTGCCTTTTGACCGAGTTTTCTGACTTCCTCTGGGATGTATGAAATTCTACTTCCCAAGGCTCCTACCATACAGTCCAAATGCCTACTTAAAACATGAGTGCAGTGATGTTTTTAAAGAGGAAATTTGAAACAACTGGTTCAACAGTTCAATTGAGAAGACTAAAACATGTAAGCAACTAAAACATTATTTATATGGAGTAAACCAACATTGTGAGTGGCTGAAAAATACTCTTAAAGGTTATGGGTTTTCTGAATATCTTTTATTTGCTAAAAGAAATCGTTTCTCTGGATATTACCTACTTCAATGACTGGAAGTTGATGCACTGTTAAAATCAAGACATTATTGATGTTGTGCTTGCACCTTGTTTTGTCCAAATCGGCCCCTAATCTTTTGCCAGGAACGGGGTTATGTTGGCAGTTAGATTGTGTCAATGGTAATCATTGCTTCTTTTGCGTGAATTAAGGTGTATTAATGATGTGATGACAAAAAAAACAATGTTCTTTTGTGGGAAGTAAAGTGTATGCATTAAATCCATTTGGAAGACTATTTGTTGATGAAAGGTGAATCTTTTTGATTGTTGCAGTTGAGGAGTGCCATAGATCCAAAGAGGCATTATAAGAAGGGCGACTCAAAATCAAAAACACTTCCCAAGTATTTCCAGGTAAGTCAAGATTGCATCTGGATCCCTGGAACTATGCGCACAGCTTTCCAAAAGAGACCCAGCTCATTCAATAAATTCACAAATCTGTGTAATGCTATAAATAATTACTTCATTGAATTGATAATTAATCAGGTTGGGACTGTGATTGAATCGGCAGAAGACTTCTACACTGGTAGACTTACTAAGAAGGAGAGAAAAGCAACCCTTGCTGATGAGCTGCTTTCTGATCATAAACTTGGCATATATAGGTAAGCAACATTTTTCTAGTTTCCGAAACATATATATTTGTTTGAACAACACTGATTTAAATCCATATATTAGCCGATTCCGTAGAAATATATATATAGTACTTTCTTTTGCACTAAAATGATGAGGATGATAAATGTAACCTGCAATATTGCTTTTCAAGTAAATGCTGCTAAGATGAGACAATTTACTGTTTTTGTCAGTAACAGGAATTATGAAGCCACGGTAACATGATCATAGTGCCCGTAGTTTTTTTTTTTTTTTTTCCTCATATTCCAATTTTATGCAGGAAACGCAAGGTCCGAGAGATTGAAGAAGTGAACCGACCAGGTGGGGTAGCCAAGTGGAAGAGAAGTGGCGGCAAACGATACAAGCATGCAATAGCTGGAAGGAAAAAAGGGCACTGATAGCTTAGTGAATGCATGTCATCGCACACAGACATCGCTCCAGAAGATCATAATGGCTGCCACCACTTGCATGAGCAACATCAATAGTAAATTGCTTCGACTTTAAGTCAGCAATTTTTTACATTTTTTGGATCGATTTGCAGAATGACCTTTGCAAGTGTTTGATATTGTAATTTTAACTGTTAACGTGAGTCATATTTGAACAAAAGACGGGCAAAATGAAGCGGAACAAAATTGAAATTCTTTTGTTCAAACCATTTATTTGGTTGGATGAATTATGTTTCTTGTCCATCATTCCTTTAGTTCAACACTATGTTGCACTTCAAATTGTTGGCTGGAAACAGAAAGGAGGCTAGGGTATGTATTCCCACGCATGATGAACTTACCATTTGAATGCAAATATTCACATCCACAATCAGAAAATATTTCCTTGCCCGGAAATTGTACAGTATAGCATAAGCAATTGATACAAATAACTAGACTATGACGAACTCCAATATGTTCCACTACAATCAGGATCCAAGCTCTTTAAATTCAAGTATTTGCAACGCCAATGCTCAAGACAAAGGTTCTTGAGAATCTCCCAATCGAGACAAATGAAGATAAGCATCTGTTCCTGCAAGAAATACAAGCCATAGATCCACCAGTCAATTTGGAATACCGTGAGATAAGACTCAAGTGCGCATACAGTTTTATGCATTTTTTGACACTCCAGACAATTTGACAATGACCCTAGTGTCATATAAATCGATGGTCATCTAAACTCTATATGAATAGCATTATTCTTCTATCATCCAGGCAATCCATAGGACTCCCAATTTTAACCTACTTCCACCCATTTATTATTCACATTTCATATGGCATACCACTTAAAGTCTAATCAAAGCTTTGTCAAACATGCTCTTAGGCTGAAAAATGTGAGCCAGTTAAATAACTTTATCCTATTAGTTGTTATCAGGTAAACTTTAGGCCGATTAAGAATCAAAAACTCCAACCAGGCCCTTCCAAAAGGCACAAGGAATGCAAAATGCATTTCCATGCACCAAATAGGCTTAAAAGAGTCTTACTATGCCTAGCTAACTTATAGACCAAAAGGATGAAAATCTTACATTCGAACATCCAATGATAAAAATCATCATCCTACCAATCTAGTGGCATGGGGTATAACTTGCGGGCTATGCACCAAATGGGGACACTTTAATGATCAATACCGTGTATGCTAATATGCGGATCATTATACTTACAGTATGGTAAGCAAAATAGAGAGAAGTACCATACCATATCCTTCCATGGAGATAATTTGCAAGTCCCCTCCAAAATACCTTGCGTATAAACGACTTATAGGAAGTCCATAACCATAACCAGCCATGGTTGTTACAGTTCCAAGGTCAACGACTGAGTGCTCATCTAGGGGGTTCTTTGCAGTACTGTAGAGATAGGTAAATATTTTGGGAAGACCACTTCTTGGTATTCCGCCACCTTCATCAGACACCTAAATAAGGTGTTAGTAACAAAATAGTTAGCTTGTTTGCCATGTAGTGGTGTAACATTCTGATTGAACACAGAATACAAGTGAAGGACATTAATAGATTTTATGCCTTTCTGTAGTATAGCTTTCTGATTGTAGACAAAAAATGAAAGTACAGTGAAATTAACAGATTCTCTATTCAATAGAAGGTAAAAGACAACATACCTTAATGGTAACATCCTCCAATCCATCGGCAACTATTATACGGATAGGAGGCGCAACCTTGTCTGAATCCACAAACTTCTCTTGAACAGCACGAAGGGAGTTTTTGACCAGCTCGAAAACCATCAAATGTAAGTGTGTTGGCACATAACTGCATAAAAGCAAAAAGTTTAAATATAAATTGGAAAAAGCATGGCAACGAAAAAAAAAAATCCTTATAATGGAGGATAACATTACAATTACAAACTTACGGAAATGTGAAGTTAGGATCTCCATAGATATTAACATCTGGTGCACTGCCATACTCGCGTAAACAAATGAAACGGGCATCCTCACTAGCATTTCTTGCAACCTCAACCGGAGACATTTTTGTATGTATATAACCAACACAATCAGGAAGAGGATTGGGATCGTGCAATGCCACATGCTGCCCTGAGTTGGCAATAAATTTGAAGCAAACAAATTGTTGTTTGGCATAAATTTCTATCAACACCAATAAAATAGATGTGCCCACTAGAAACTAATAAGCAGGTCAACAAAAAAAGGCTAACCAATGAGCATGCGTATCCCAATTCTTGACATGTAAAATCGATCAAGAAACTGTTGAATTTCATCCAGATCCTTGTAATCAATTTTAGGATCTAAATCTTTCTTCAACTGTTGAACTCCCAATGCCATCATAGGGACCACGTTGTTGTGCCTGACTTTAATCATCTTAATCATTTGTGTGAATTTCAGCTCGTCACTCTTATCCTTAATATCGTGAAAGGATCTAAGGTCACGAAAAGAATCCAAATACCAATCTCTTACCTAGCAAGAAAAGATAAAGAAAAAGAGCCGTGTTGATTATGCATTTGACAATACAAGTCTTCAACAAGGGTTGTATGAACACTACTTCAAACAACAAGAATCTCAAGTCCATTATAATTTCCCATTATCAAGCCTTTTATGGCAAACATAAGCTTAAAATTTAAAACAAAAACTAAATTCAAGACAAAGCAACCGGATTATGAGTTGCAAAATCTCAGTTACAATAACAATCCAAAATCATTCCCTAGAACATGAAGACTATCTCCCATGTGCTTAGCCACAGTGCCTATAAATGCCATGAGTAAACTATTTGATAAAACGAAAACACGTTTTTAATGATCTATGGAAGTAAGTATAGCATAAAACAGTCCATTTATCCACAGCCAAACCATGAAGTCACAATAATTTAAAAAGTCCCAAGTTAGAGAGAGAAACTGAATATAACATTAATCTACCCTCAATTTTCTCTTTACCCATTGAGATAAGATTCATATCACCAAAAATTAAAACCCATTGTAACGATCTAATTGTATCCCATAGTAAATTCTACCAAAAGTGGTCCTTACGCCCATTTCTAACATTGAAAAACCCCAGTAATAAAACGGGGAAAAGATGGAATCTTTAACCCAAACGATACCTTCAAAACAGCGGGCTTATGGGACAAGCCATAGGGGAGGGACTCAAGCTCAATAGCTCGGCGAGCGATCCGAATAGGAAGCTCCTTCTGGAGGAACTGGGCGGAAATGAGGAGATTTCGGGTTGTGGGTCTGGACCCGAATTCCATCATGTAACGGAGGTTGACACCAGTTTGCTTCATGGAACCCCATTTCTGCACCTCCTCGATTAGCCCTTTGGAGAAACCTTCCCACGCCTTCTTCGCCGTCATAAAAGCCCCTCCCAATTCTGGAATTCAATGCAATTTTAGTTCACAAACATGGGGATAAAAGTTAGGGTTCGGGCGGTGTTTACAGTGGTAAATAGTGGTACCGCGTGTACATTTACATGCAGAATCGCAGATTATCGAAGCCAATTGAATTAGCGCTGTTACAGTGCGCGTACGAGGTGGTCTTTACGAGGTAGAGAGAGAGAGAGAAAGAGGGGACGAAGTCTGTTAGATAGCGATGGATAAGAAAATGGGTTTGGCCAATGTGATAATAATCATTTGACGAAAATTGCACCAAATCAGATCATTTGGCAATTTAACACTTTGGAGAGCCCAAAAGAGTTTGAACGTGTACGGTAGAGTTTAAAATCGGATTAAAATTGAAAAATTAGTCGTTATTATCGACTTTTATTAGACAAGTGAGACCCAATAATTGAATTTTAATTTTTACCAAACAAACACTTTATAAATTGATTATTTAACAGTCAATAAATGCTAGTCCTCACATGTAATCTGATAAAGTGGATACATAGAATTTTAATGAAATAAATAATAACCATCATTTTTTGGCTGTTACATCATTGATTCCCTTACTCTAATGTTACTTATCATCATAATGATAGAATATCGATGATTTAACAATCTATATGAAATAATAGGACGAGACTGTCTATATTCTTGAGAACCAGTCTCTCAAATTGAGAATGAAATACAAAATAGAAAGACTACTTAATTGTGATGTCAAGAGGAAGTGTTCATATTTATTGTTTAGTTTGTAGGTAGCTAATCTTTAGATTCTTTACTTAACTTCGCCTAATAAATGCCAAAAAAAAAAACGAGCAGTAAACTCTGTTTGTTCCGTGAGCCCACTCCAAAATATTCCGAAAGAGGAGATTTATGAGATTTTGTTAAAAATTTGATTTTATTCTCCACTAAATATGAGTTTAAATTGCTAAACCGACTTACTAGTGTAGACAGAATAGTAAAAACTGTTTGTGTAAAAAATTGCACACAAATTAAAGATTCTNCGCGTACGAGGTGGTCTTTACGAGGTAGAGAGAGAGAGAGAAAGAGGGGACGAAGTCTGTTAGATAGCGATGGATAAGAAAATGGGTTTGGCCAATGTGATAACGATATAATACAGATCATTTGGCAATTTAACACTTCGGAGAACCCAAAAAAGTTTAAGCGTGTGTGTTGGAGATTAAAATCGGATTAAAATTAAAAAATTAGTCGTTATTGTTGACTTTTATTACGGACCCAATAATTGAAATTTAATTCTTACCAAACAAACACTTTATAAATTGATTATTTAACAGTCAATAAATGCTAGTCCTCACATGTAATCTGCTAAAGTGGATACATAGAATTTTAATGAAATAAATAATAACCATCATTTTTTGACTGTTACATCATCGATTCCCTTACTCTAATGTTACTTATCATCATAATGATAAAATATCGATGATTTAACAATCTATATGAAATAATACGATGTGACAGTCTATATTCTTGAGAACTAGCCTCTCAAATTGAGAATGAAATAAAAAATAGAAAGACTACTTAATTGTGATGTCAAGAGGAAGTTTTCATATTTATTGTTTAGTTTGTAGGTAG